AACAGGCCCTGTTGACAAGGGAGAGGGGCTCCTTCAGATCAGGCGATTGGGGAGGCCTCCTGGCCGGCACCCGAGGGAGAAGGGCATGTGTCTAGTTTTGGGGAGGCCTCGGCGCGGGTCCCTGGGACTGGTTGCAGTGTGGACGTCCCTCTCCTGCAGGGCCGCTGGGGGTTTTAAGCAGTGCAGTGACATGAGCTGATTTATGATTTTAGAAACTCATGCTGGAGGCGGGCTGGGCAGCCATGGGGACAGCTGGGAGGCTGTGCCCGAGGGAGGTGCCGGTGGCTTGAATCAGGTCATTAGTCCTTTAGACAGATGGGGACAACTGTGGAGCAGGCCGAAGGGCTCAGCTGAGTGGCCCAGCCAGAGTGACGGAGGCAAGAGAGAGCCCTGAGGGTCCGCTCCAGCTCTGGTGGCACACGCCCCCAGGCCCCCTCTCATGGAGTTCTGAGGCACTGCCTGGCTGTCCCGTCCCCCGGCAGCGGGGACCACACTTGGCCATAGGCAGCATTCACACGCCACTTGCTGGCATGGGTCTGCTAGGGTGGTGGCCTCGTCTCTACTCACCCATCTGTCTGTCTGTCCACCCATCCATCCATCATCCCGTCCACCCATCTGAATCCCGGTGGAAAACGTGGCGCAGCGGAAGGGGGTGGCCAGCCTCAGAGGGCAGCGCTCGCTCCCCGACCCTGTGTTGGTTGTGGGTACACTTGACCATCCCCACGCACTGCCTGAGCCCCTCCTCACTGTGCCAGGCCCTGTGCCAAGGACACGGAGACAGCCCCTGCCTGCTGGGCACTCACAGCCTAATGCAGGGAGATGGACAGGCCAGCCCCCAGTTCACTGTCAGAGGGCCATGGGGCCACGGGAACTGAAGGGCCCTTTATCCAGCTGGGTGGATGCAGGCGTGGGGGCGCATCGGAAGGACTTCCGGAGGATGCTAGTTGCCAGCCAACCTGGCGGAGAGGGAGCATCGGGGTCACCTTTGCTCGGCCCCCGTCCGCATTCAGCCCTGAGGACTCCCCCGCCCACCCCCGCCTCACAGCAGCCGCTTCTCACATTGGCCAGCAGAGGGCCGCGTGCTCCGCGGCTGTGCGGGCATCAGGGCGGGCGGGAGGAGGCCCTGGCCTCACACACGCGGGCTGGCTTGCACCTGCCCTGTCCCAGCCTGGTGGGCCTGAGTACCCTCAGCACCGGGGTCCCCGCCCCATCCCACCCTGTGTGGACCTGAGTACCCTCAGCACTGGGGTCCCTGCCTGCCCTGAGGACTGAGGCTCCCCAAAGTACAAGCCCCTGCTCGCACCAGTGTGAGTGCTGGGTGGAAGGTGGGCTCTTTGGACAGAACAGTAGAATGTGCTGTCTACTGCTGTCACTTGCTGTGTGGGAAGGATGGAGGGGTGGCTGTGCCAGGTGGGGCGAGATGCAGGTTCTTTGGGGTCCCTGAGCCCCAGGGAACTGGGTGCCTGTTGCTGGTGGGAAGAACAATTAGTCGGGGGTCCAGGGGACAGCTAGGCCTGGGCTCATACAGGGGACTTTCTGGGCAGAGCTGCAGGTTACAGCCTGGGGTCATGACATCCTGGGGAGTGAGGGAGCGGCCTGGGGCAAGGAGGCCCTTGCGGGCACCCCAGTATGCCTGGGCCTGGGACCCTGCCCGCGAGGGCTTTGGGCGGAAGCAGGCACCCGCTCAGGAAGTGATGGGCCCTGCGCCCACAGGCCACCAGGGATCCGGCTACAATGAGCAGGGACCCGGGCTGGCGGGGAGGAGGGGGGCTCATGGAGGCACGCACCATCTCAGTCCAGCCGGCAGGGGTCCAGTCAGGCCCATGTGCTTGACCTTTGCTGGGAGCCGGGCCGCCCACTGCAGCCTCACTTGCTGAGGGCCACGGGGAAACCAGAGACCCACACGCAAGAAGTGGGGCCCACGTGGGGCGGCCCAGGGCCCTTAAAGCTCCCCAGGCGACACAATTTGCATGGGGAGGGAGTTCTCCGAGAGGTAACTGGGGTGCTGTGTGGAGCAGCCGTGAAGACTGGGGCGGCCTGGGTTACTGTGAGCCCTGGAGTGAGGGGCCATGTCTGCTACAGGCACGTGTGTACGTGCTGCATGTAGACGCCGGATGGGGTGCCCGGGCCGCCGGGAGCCTGTGCTCGGTTTCTGCAGGGGTGGCATGGAGTTGGCCATGGGGTACTGGTCCCCACTTCTGGTGGCCCAGCCGACTACTGGTGGCTGGGGTGGGTGCTGGTGCTTGGGTGCCTGACTTCTGCCCCACCTCTGGGGCCTGTCTCCCCCTGGGCTGCAGGAGTCTGCGGGCGGCCTCAGCCTCAGTCCCCCAGCTCAGGATTCACAGGCCACCTGCACCCCAGGTGTGGGGGAGGGCACTCACAGGCGAGCCCCTAGCAGGGGCGGGGCGGAGCCCAGAGCCCCCAGGGTGTGCATGGTTGAGTAGTGTGTGCTCAGCGACCACACCAGCTGTGTCTGAGCTCACAGGAGCTCCCTGCAGTGGCACATGTCTGAGGTTGAAACCTGAGGGGACGTGAGTGTGACTCTCTGGTTGCCACGTTCGCCTGTCCGGGTTACGTGCTGCACAGCTCCAGAGCCGCCAGGGCCCCTGTCGCCATGGGTGGCGCGTGCTTCTGCCGAGACAGTTCGCAGGCCGTGGCCGTGGAGCGCTCGGAGAGAGCGTCTCTGCGTCGTCTGCCTCGCGTGCAGGCTGGCGGCGTCTCGCAGGCCAGTGGGCAGGTGTCAGGAGCTGGGTGGCGGTGTGCGTTCGCATGTGCGTGAAGAGGCCGTGCTGTGGTGTGCACATGGGGCCCATCTGGGAGCCCCCGGGCAGGTGGCGTGAGCACTGCGGCTTCCTTGTTCTGTCCGGCCCAGGCAGGGCCATTTCCTGACTCCCACAGAGGGAAGGCCCCGTGTGCGGCCTGGGGGTGCCCCTGGGTCCTGCTCTTGGGCCCCTTGAGCTTGCCTCTTGGACTGCCCACCCCTACGGGTCTGCTCACTGGGTGGAACCACATGAAGCCTCAGTACACTTGGCGGCGAGGGGCAGACACCTCCCCGTGGGGGGCCCCTGTGGGGAAGGGGTCGTCGGGGGGAGTTTTCCACGGGCAAGCGCCATGGCCTCGCTGTTACTGCCAGGGCAATCAGGGCCCCAGCATGAGGGCGGCACCCCTAACCCTACCTGTCTGATGGCAGTGCCTTCACCGTGTGAGGCTGCGGGAGGTGTCCTCTCCCACGCCTGGGGTGTGCCACCATCGCTCTGCGTTCAGGGGCTTCGCCAGCCAGTGGTTAAACGGGGCGAGTTCACACCCCAGAGGCACGTGGCGTGTTCACACCCCAGAGGCACGTGGCGTGTTCACACCCCAGAGGTGCCTCCCCAGTGAGCTGCGGTGCTCCTCAGAGACGGCTTCCAGCTTCCAAAGGCCTCAGGGCTGCCTCCTCCCCCCTCAAAGTGTCACCTTCTCCGTGAGGCTCTTCCTGGTGAGCCTGCCCTTCTCTGCGGTGGCGTCCTTAGCAACTGTGCCGTCTGCTAACCGTATGACGGCCTCTGTTTCGTAGGCTTCACGAGGACAGGGGCTTGTGTCTGTTTTGTTTACCGCCCAAAACAGAGCCAGCTCATGGGTGCTCGGTAGGCATTGAGTGGGTGGGTGACTGGGTAGATGACAGGTGGGCGGATGGATAATAGGTGGATGGATGCTGGGTAGGTGGATGGGTGGATGGAGGGTGGATGGATCCTCAAGGCCAGGCCCGGACATGGCGCGGGGGCGTCCACCTGTCCCCAGGGCCATCAGGGCAGCTCTCGCCCTGGACATGGACTTGAAGGGCCAGGACTCCGGCTCGTCTGTGGCCGAGGCGTGGCGTGTCTGGCCAGTAGCATTTCTGAGCAGCTAGGAAGGAAGCAGGGTCTCAGGACAAACAGACCCCGGCTTGGGCTCTTCAGGGCCCTGGCCTGAGGACAGAAAGAGGGTGCTCACGACACAGTGGCCAGACGTGGAGGCCTGGGGCAGACTGCGCACTCTGGGAGCGTGGACGCTGGGCTGGGAGGCCTGGGGGTGGAGAGGAGGGCAGGACGCTCCACATCCTGCAGTGTCCCCACACTGCCCAGCGGGCAGGTCAGCGGCGCGTGGGTCAGGAGCCCCAGGGTGCTGGGCAGTGCGCTGGCTGAGAACCACAGCCTCGGTCTGTCCCGAAGAGGCGTCCGCTGGCTGGAGAAGGTGCAGGCGTTGATGCACGCCCCGACGTCACTGTGTGGGAAGGACCCCGGTGGGTCCTGACGGGACCTGGAGGCAAGGCCGGTGTGGTTCAGGGTGGCGACTTCCTGGGCGTGGGAGGCTCAGGGCCGGGGCTGTGATGTGCGTCGCTTCCCTGCAGCTCGGTGAGGTTAGAAATTATTTTCAAGTAAAAGGAGAAACGTGAGCAGGATTCCTGGTCCCCCGGCCGCGTGGTCACCTAACCGCTGCCTCCGTTTCTCCTCCGTGAAGTGAGCTTTTGTGCGAGGAGCCAGGAGCTGCGGGCCGGCCACCGCGCAGCCAGGCCAGGAGACACTGGCCCTGTGGGGGATTGCAGGGGACAGGACCGAGGCACAGAGAGGTTGGGCGACGGCCCTAGGTCACACAGCGGTGTGGCCTGCAGCCCCCCTGCCCGCCCCGGGGTTGCGGTGCGGACCCAAGGGGCCTGCAGTGTGAGTGGGCAGGGAGTGGGGAGGCCTTGCCGGTGCCCCGTCCTGGAGACAGCACCAGCCCCGCATAGCAGCGTAGCTGACAGGGCCCACTGACTGCAGGAAAGGGGGACAGAGCTGGCAGCAGCTTCCTCTCCTGGACGTCCCCAGCTGTCCTGCACGTCCCGTCGGGGCTGTGAGTGAATGGCTCCGCAGCGCTCCGCCCCCGCCCTCTGCAGTCTGGCGTTGGGGGCCTGACCTGGCCCTGCCCCCTCCTGCCGCACAGCAGGCCAGCAGTGCGAAGGGGTCAGGTCTGCGCTTGCTGAGCCTGTCTCTCCCTGTCCCCAGATGAAGGTTGCAGTGTCCAGAGGGGGCGACCGCAACAGCGAGGACGACAGCTTCCGCGAAGCCACCAGCTCCCGGCGGAGCAGCTCCCGGGACCAGCTCAGTGACGTGAGTACCCCAGGAGCTTGCCGGCCAGCATTCACGTTCCAGGCCAGACCAAGGGCTGGACGCAAGGCGGGCAGAGACGTGCACCAGGGGGCAGGGCTGCGGTGGGCTCGGCCGTGTGTGTGGCACGCACGCCATCCGGGAGCTACAGGGAACGTACCGGAAGTGCCCCTGTTGGCCCCAACAGCAGCTGAGGGCTGGGGGCAGGGTGTCCGCTGGTCTCAGCCTGGATGCGAGGTGGCCTGAGTCTGGGGACACGCCTTCACGGTCCCAGAGCACAGGGCCCTGAGCCGGGTCCCCGCAGGTGGGAGTGGCCTTGAACCCAGTATGGGACGAGCCGAGATCTGGTCAGCGATTAGGGGATGGGGCTGGCGCACAAGGATGGGGCTGGTGGGGGACCCAGGGGGAGGGGGCTGGGCAGGGGGTCCAGCAGGAGGAGGCGCCCAGGAAGAGGCCTTTGTCTTCTTGACCCCCAGCTGCAGAAGCGGCCGGGCGGGTGGAGGTGGAAAGGAAGGAGTTGTCCTCATTACCATTTAAATGGCAGCCTGGGGAGCAGCCCCGGGAGCAGCCGCAGCGGACTGGAGGCTGGGGGGGCCTAATTGCCAGGCTAGTCCTGCTGCCCTAAGATGGGAAACAGGCCGATGATTGCCTGGGGCCGCGGCCGCCCTGGTTGCAAGCTCTCTACTTGCTGGCTGAGGCGAGCAACGGGGGTGGGTGTGAGGGCGCAAGCTCAGGGCAGCTGGGGCACCCCAGCCACCCTGTTAGCAGGGCCTCCTGGGGTGGGGGTCCCTCCAGGGTGAGCTCTGCCCAACAGGAACCCCCAGGACCTGAGTGAAGACCTGGCCCCGGTCTGCCTGGAGAGGGGAGGGGTCCCACAGCCCTATCCAGGCTGGACGGGGAGCCCTGTGCAGAGGGGAGCGACCCAGGCTGCAGTGCCGACCCCCAGCCCTTAGCTCCAGCCACGGCCCGGGAGTGCACAGGGTGGGCCTCAGGGGCTGCGAGCCTGGTTACCGACTGTTCCCCTCCTTCCCACAGAGCTCGGCGCAGGCGGTCTCGGGCAGAGGCTACTCCGTAAGTCTCCCCCTGCCCCACTGCTGTCCAGCTCCCCGCAGGTCCTGTCCCCTCTGGGGCTGGGGTCACGCCTGGGCGCTGCAGCCCCCACCTCCGTGAGGACTGGGGTCCCGCCAGGTGGCACTAGGACTTGAGGGTCCGGGCACCCCCCAGTACCATGCTTTGATGGAGCCCCCTAGCTCCCTGTGAGTCTGTGTGAGGCCACCCTCCCTGCCCCCCAAGCCCTGTCCCCAGGGAGCAGCCCTGCCCCCTCTTCAAGACGTTGTTTCATTTCCCCTTAAGTGTCAGGAGGAACAGTGACGACACCGTAAAGCCCAGAGCTCCATAAAAGCCATTTCTGCAGATTTACTGCCCTGCAGGCTCACTGGGAGGTGGGGCCTGGTTCCTCCCGTCTCATCCCCAAGCCCCTGATTTACCGAGAATTCCAGAGTTCCAGGGCCTGAGCTGGCTCTCTAAATCACAGCGGCTCTTTACAGGCTGTCTGATTAAGCGGTGGTTCCCGTGGCCCTCCTCCACCCCTCTGCCCAGGCCATTGACCGGGGGGCTGCACACTTCTGGGCAGTGGTCCCAGGTGCCCGGCGCCACCTGAGTCGTCTCCCTGCCCTCCTCAGGTGGCCTTGTGTGCTTATCCGTCACGGTCATGGTCGGTGGCCCCGGCGCTGGCCAGGAGGTGGGCCAGGACCAGGCTCCGGTGGGAATGTGTGGCCAGGAGAAGGAGGCTGTGTGATGCAGGCCGGGACCGGGGATTGCTGGGACAGTGACCAGGAGTGGGGGGCCAAAGCACCCACCAGCAGGCAGGGCAAGGGGTGTGTGTGGGCCCCAGAGGGTCTGGGCCTAGGGCTGCCCCAGCTGGAGCCTCCTGCTGCATCCGAGGCCCCAGGGCAGCTGGGGTCCCCCTGCTCCCTGCCTGAGCCACGGGCAGCCCCTCTGCTTCCGAACTGCCGTGGGGCCTCCGGGGTCTTCTCCCCAAACGCTGCTTGGCTGCTCCTGGAGAAGAGCTGTAACCAACGCGCCAGCCGCTCGCGGCTGGACCCCCACGGCTGCTGCACGGGAGCGACAGATGGTAGCCGGGAAGTGGCCCCGCCTGCTGCTTGGGTCGTGGGGGTTCCCCGACGATGTCTGCAGACGGCCCCGGCGGGCCCCAGTGGGCACCGGGCCCTGGAGTGTGCTGATGAGTGCATTAGGCCCTGGCGTGAGTGGGCGTGTTCTCTAGTCCTTGATGTGAGCTGGTGGGCACTGCAGGCTGGCGGTGGGCACTACAGGCTGGCGGTGGTCAGCTGGCCCCAGGGGCCCTCTTGTCTAGTTGGCATGGGGCTGCAGGCAGAAGCCCAGCCCTCTCAGAAGTGAAGGCCAGGTGGAGGCTGAGCCCGCAGGAGACACAGGGTGGGGACCACACAGCGCTGTGAGCGCAGCGCCCCAATCTCCATGTCCCCCGTCCCTCGCGGCCTCACAGGTGGAGGGCTTCACCACGGAGCCTTAGGCACACGAGCATGCCCTCAGGCCAGGGCCCCTGTGTGCGTGCCTGTGCCCGCCATGTGCTGTCCGAGAGGGGAGCGTGTGTTGTGGCCCCGTGTGTTGACATGTGTTTGTCACATGCGTGTCTCCGTGGAGGCCTGGCAGGGCTGTTTATGCCTGCAGCTCGCATTGTTGCGCGTTTCTGTCTGGGCTGTCTGGGCCTCTTGCATGTTCATCTGGAGGTGCTGTGTGTCTGGCTGTAGCAAATGTGCGTGTGTGCAAGTGGGTGCGTGCATGCCACGTGTGTCTGCATGTAACTAGGAGCCTGTGTCCTGGCGTGTCATGGCCGCATCTGCATGTGTATGACTGATTCTGCTGGCGTGCCATGTGTGTCTGTGTGTGAGACCTGTGGCCACGTGGCAATGCGTGTGGCTGTGCATGCGTGCCACTTGCCATCTGTGTTTGTCAGTGGTTGGGACCTCAGACCCAGCAGGAGTGGCACTATCATCGCCTCTCCCCAACAGTGTCCCCACACTAGGTGGCGAGGAGCGTTTGTCATCTGACCTGGTTTATAGGCAGTACTAAAGGGGTTTAATTTGCAGAGATTTATCCCCAGCCAATCTCCAATTATCACTCATCCTCGACAGCTTCTGCCCCAAAAGCTCTGTGCAGCCCACGGCACACCATCAGATGCTCGTCAGAGCCGTGAAATTAGTTAGTAATTTTCTTAATTTGGCTGCTTGCAACCAAGGATGCGATCCACCACCACCAGCGCAGGGGCTGGGAGGCCTGCTTGCTGTCCCCACCCCCTCCCCGAGGCTGAGTGTTCTGAAGGGGCCTTGTGCCTGGCTGGGGACTGGGGGCGGAGTGGGGACATCTCAGCAGCTCTCAGCGCTGGCCCGTGATGACTCGGCTAGCTCCTTAGCTCCTCCTGCTCTCACAGCCACGCTCCACGGTGGCCACTGTCACCAGCGATGATGATCCCACAGCCTCTAGGTGAGGACGCTGAGGCACCACCTTGGGAGGGGCCGTGCTCTGAGCGGGGCTGAGCCAAGACGTGGCGGGCAGACCGGCCCCACTCCACGGTTCTGGTGTCCCCAGGTCTCTCGGGCCCCAAGACCTTTCTCAGACGCCTTGTCACCACCAGGAGGAAGCCCAGCCTTCCCTCCACCTTGCCCCGCCTCCCAGCTCTCTCTGCCATGACACTCTGCGCCCCCTGTGCCCGGATGCCCCGCGCCCCACAGCGCCCCCTCTGCCAGGCGCCCCACGCCACTGGGTCCTCTCAGCTGCTCTGAGAATATGGAGTGTGAAAGGTGCATCTCTTACTCCCTCCTCCCTCCGACAAGCCCTCATCCCGCTTCCGCTGGGCACCTGTCACCAGTGCTGGGAAAGAAGCGACAACCCCCACCCCTGCCCGCGGGGCTCCTGGCCTGTGGATGAAGCAGATGAGCACCAGGGGAGGCAGGCAGGGTCCCCCAGCCAGGCTGGGGACATGGAGCCAGTGCTGTTCCTGGGGCGGGAGGGGTCCACCCCGTGGCGGGGTCCCAGGATGCCGGGCGGTGTTTGGGGGTCGCAGTTCCTGACCTGAGCGTCCCCGCGCTGCCAGCCTGGGCCGCTTGGGCTTCCTCGGGGCCTGGCGGGCCCCAGGGCCCGGGAGCAGCAGCCGCGACAAAGCACAGCGGCCGAGCGGCCTCCGGCCCAGATCCAAGGGGAGGGGCGCCAGCGCTTTGGGGGCCGAGGCAGGACGCTGGGCAACCGTGCCCGGTCCCGACCCGCCTCTCCCCAAACTCGGGCGGCACGGCGGCCGGGAAGCTGGTTGCGAAGGGACGCTGCACGTGGTGAGGGGGCCGCGCGCCCCTCTCGGTTGGGCTGGCGGGGAGGTGCCCGAGGTGCCCCCGCGCCCAGCCTGCTCCACGCGCAGCCCTGCGCCGCGGGCTCGTCTTTACGAGGCAGGTTTACGGCGTCCATTACCCTGCTCCTCGGCCGCTTCCGAGCAGCTGTAATTTGTGCAAAAGTAATAAAAAGCCGTCAGCCTCTCCCTGGAGGCGGGAGCTGCGTCCTTCAGCCAGCGGCGGCCGTTCCCAGAGCGCAGGGATCTGACCTGTGCCCGCGGCCCCGCCCGGGCGCCCTTCTTTCAGGGGGACGCTCCGCCCACCCGCCGTGGTCCACCCACCCTTCCGTCCCTCCACCCACCCTTCCGTCCGTCAGTCCGTCTTCCCTCCCTCCTTCCTCCGTCCCTCCTCCCTCCCTTCCTTCGCCAGGCCAACCTCTCCGGCCCCGGGGTGCAGCTGTAGCTCTCATTTGGCCAGCTGGTAGAGCGTGGAATTCCCGCCCTGAGTCCCCCATTGTCCAGCGTGTCTCCTGAATAGCTGGGGGTCAGGAGTGTCAGTCCCCTTGGGCTTGTGGTGCGGTATTTTGAACAGGGCTCTTGGACGCGTCTGCGGTTTTACTGCCAGGGAGCCGGGCCCTGATGTGGGCATCACTGTGGGGGGCCTGGCCGCGGGGGCGCCGACAGCTCCACCTCCCTTCAGTGCTGGCCCGTGTCAGCGGATGTGGTGCCGGAGGGGTGTGGCCTTGGGGACTCTGTCCTGAGCTTCCCCAGAGTGGGTGCTGCAGGTGGCCGCTCTAGCAGCTGGACAAAAGGTTCTTCCTGAAGGGGGTCTGGGTGGCAAATAGCCGTGCACCCAGATAGAGGATGTTGAACTGGTGACCTACACGGTTCCTGGACGAACAGTAAGCCGGGCAGTGGGGTGGCACTGGGGACGCAGTGGCGCAGGTCTTGGGGTCCCTGTCCTGGTGGGGAGATGGTCTGTCAGCAGCAGCTGCTTCTGGAGAGTGCTGGCTGCTGCAGGCGGCACTGGTGCCTGGTGGTCGGGGGACATCCAGGAGAAGCCAGGGGGGATGTCAGGCCGAGGGTGTGTGCGGGCTGGGGTGTTCATGCGTCAGGGGACCTAGAGGAGGCAGAAAGGGCCCCGCAGCTCTGGGCAAGGCTCATCCCAGCGGCCCCGGGGAGCCGTGGGCACTGCCATGGGGCCTAGACACTGGGGGACGCCGCACTTCTGTTGGGGGCCCAGAGCCCTGGACTGTAGTTGTCCAAGCCTTGGGCTGACACAGGCTGTCGCCCCGTACCATGCACGTGTGTGCTGTCAGCAGAGCAGGGGCTGGATTTAGTGGCGGAGAGCATCTGTGCGTTCGTGAGAAGCCTGACGTCCGTTGGCATTTTCTGGCCGTCTTTAACGTGGCGCCATTGTTGCATTTCAGACTGGGCGAGGCCCATGAAAGAGACACCAGCCCCCCTGCATTATGGGGCAGCGATGGAGAACGCTCCCGCCAGGCAGCATGGGGTCACATGTTAGGGTTGGCTGTGGGTTCGCGGCTGCTGGTCACTTTTTCAGGGACTGCCAAGAGAAGCCACCCCAGACACCTTCCTGCACCCCTGCCCCTGAGAGCTCCAGGATTTAAGCCCACGGCCTCTGCACAAGCCCCCGACTCCACCCGCTCGTCTGAAAGCCTCTACAATGTTCTAGAAGGCACGGCCCGCTCAG